AACCTAGAGGAGAAACATTAAGGAATCTTGGAAAAGCTAAGATTTTTATATTAAAAAGTAAATGGTTGTAATAAATTAGGTTTAGTAATGCAATATATTTCCAATAAATTTTGTTGTAGCATCCTTTGAGTTACAACGGATGATCTTTTGAGGATTTGATGTCAATAGCAACAATTATATAGGTAATGAGTAGTGTACATAGATAGTGATTAATATAACGTCATTAATACACAACTCGTAGAGCCGGTAGCAACTCGCTGCAAAAACAAGAAAAAACTCCAAAAAAGTTAAAAAATCATTAAATTAAATTTTAGACGTCGTATTCTATTTACCGAATCTATAATGAAGTTTTAGATCTAGATCGACGAAGCCTTAAGATTCAACGCGTAATTTCATCTCGGCAATTTCACAAATTGCAGATAGCTGTATCCGGCTCGAAGGACCATGAGGAGTTACACCATTGCACGACCGCCTCGTTGCCTAAACTAGCATGGAGATTCATTTAGGACTGGGCCGTTGAGAGGAGTCCGAGCGAAGCTGGCAGAGTTTGCCTCACCTGCCCAAAGCATTCATCACCCTCGGATCGGTTAAAAAGGCGACGACTTGCTCGGCAACTCATTTATAACAACCTCTCCTCCCCCGCGCGTTTTGATGCTCCTGTAAATAATTTGTCAGTAAATTGTACACAGCTGTTTTGTAGCTCGACTAAACGGAGCATTTAGTAGTTCTATCCTTTTTGCCAGACAGCTTCAGCGCTAATGTGTTTGTGTGTTTCTGGACTACAATTCCTGGATGGTATAAAATGTTCTATAAGTTTTGTATAAGGATGAAAGCTACGTTAGCATGTACTTAAATGTGTTTTTAATAATGACATTTAAATTTATAAGCTATTTTTTGTATTAAGTATGCTACGTGTACGTGAGGGTTTGAACTTCATTAATTAAAAAATTGGGATATTGTAAACAATAATTAAACAAATAGGCTATCAACTGATTCAATTTACTTTATCACATATCTTTATGGAGTATTAAAACAAAACTGAATACCAAAATACTACCCACATACTTCAACTCAATTTCTTAATGGCAGTTTCTTTGATCAACCCTCAAAAATCAATGTTCACGACAGTTTTCAATATGTTACCTCAATACGATAAATTTGAGCTGTTTCTCGTTGCGTGGAACCCTTCCCAATACAGTATATCAAACAAGCTCCTAGACTTATTTTTATTCATTCATTTTACTTGGACTTCATTTTGCTAGTCCATATGACATGAGGAATGGGATGTCTTCGAATACCATACACCATACAGCCACTTTCCAGCAACAAGTCCAATAGGGGAACAGGACAGATTAAAATATCTCCGCCGCAGCAAACCTACCTGCGCACTAGCGAACCTTTATTAAGCCTGATTTGATCTTCACAAATTTAATATATTTAAATAACATTAGGTTTAACGAGTACCTAGGTTTGCTGTTACAGGGAGGGTAATAAAGTGTGTTGTAGTAAAATAATAATACATGAATACAAAACAAATAAAATTGCCAAATTTTATAAAAATATACATAAACAAGCAAACTACAATAGTTTACAATATTCTCCATAATAATAACATGGGAATTTTAAATTTATGTAAAAAAAATTTTCGTAACCAATAATCATACAAAAATACTTTAATATACTAAACTATTTTTTCATAAGCTCTACAAAATTGTTTAAAGAAACATTGGGAAATTTTATTTTTCGAGGGTCAAACATGGAAAAACACCTATTTATTACCCCATAAACCACCGTTCCCATGGTCCGATCATGGGTTCCAGATCTCGTCCGAATAAATGTAGGTTTACACGTTTGAACAAAATTTAATCAAAATCGGATGATTTTTGCTGGAGTTATCGCGCTAACGGACACATACTTAATATATATGTTTTAATTTGAACGAACGGTGTTTTTGAAAATGAAAAAGCAGCAAATAGGTTCTCGCCATTTATCTCAAGTAAATTGTACAGTACTTTGTCAACTTTGTATAAATAACAGAGAACATGATAGGCACTATCATTACATACATTGGCAAGCTTCATATTATTCAATACAAATAAACATGTTACGATGTTTTCTCTAAAAAAAACCTTAACACTATAAAAACAATAACAAATCAAGAACTCTTTGAGTTGACTCTAAAATGTACGATAGCCTGTTTCATTCCTGAGATCATTTGCAAAAACAATAGAAAACATATAATTTTTTTAAATGAAGTTTTGAGACTAGGAATGTTAAAATGTTATTAGATCTCGTTTTAAATTTTGAATTCTTAATATGCTGACAAAATTCAACGTTTTTCTTAAAACAGTTTTTATTTACCAGCTTAATTTTCAGCATTTTGTAACAGTTACGTATTTGACACTCAGCGGCTGGAGTAGTGTGAATCTTTTAGTTTGTAGATTGCGACTTCACATGGCATGTGACTGACTATACAGGGTTAATGGTATATACTGACTTCAATTATATAACCCAGGGGTGCCCACAAGGGGGGGCCGTGACGCAGACTGCGTCATTGAAATTCTTGGGGGGGGCTCAAAAAATTCAAATGGGGGGGGGGGCTAAAGTTAATAGCAACAATGTTCAACGTGACGACAATCCAAAATACATTACGAAGTCGCCAGATAGAAAGTGGATTAATTAATGACAATAGTTATATTATTGAATTAAATTAGTTAAAATAGGATTTTAGGATAGTTTAGGATTCGTGTAGAAAGTTTTTATTTAAGATTAGCAAGACGTGAGATCTAAGAGGGAGCGCACGGGATGGCTCAACTGCTGTGATAGTTAAAAGATAACGCGTGGTACAGACACGTCCAGCTACACCGCGACTTAGCACAGCAGAACGCTTTGTTGACATAAAGCTCGTTAAAATACAATCAAGTAGCAAGTAGCATAGGCTACAATACTTTACACTATTGTGTAGATACTCGATTACCTGAGTTAATAGGGAGAGGGGGGGAATGAAAAATACGGTTAATCCAATATAGTATAAAAACAGATGACAAACTCATTAAAACGCTGTAAACAGCCATAAACGTCACGATTTACATTTTTATAAACGAAATTCAATATTGCACAATCATTATTATTGTAAATTTCAAATCATTTATCTTGGTTCAGTTGTACAAACGGAAACGTTTAAAATTGTAGCTAACTCAAACTCAACTAATCACTAGCCAAACATTGTATTGCTATAAATAACGTAAATTATTAAAGGAACCTTTAGAAAGTGTTATAAGGTACTGCTCATGATAGACGGATAGGCTACCGATAGGTGCTGTAACACAGCATAGGAATTGATAGATAAGTAATAAAAAATTGTAAAATTATATTGAGAGATAATTAAAACACTCTTAAAAAAGAATGTAACGAGAACAATCTTGTTATTCTCTTTCTTTGTTCTTCTGTTCTTTAATAGGTTTCTCTTCAATTCATACACGAATTCAACAAGTCGCCATATTTAGGTCTACTCATTGGCCAATCACAGCCTTACTAAAGTTACCATGGTTATCACTCAATCACAGTGTACTAAGCATTATATCGTCATCATTCCCTAGAGCTGTTGTATCTGAAATCTGTTGTAACATAGCGCACAGCAGACAGAAGTGTACGGAGCAGACGATTGTTGGCGCAAGCGTTGTTTCCATTTCATTTTCATCAAAGGAGCTGTGATGTTTCTAAAGGGAGGGAGAGGGGATCGTAATATCGAGAAAGACGCTGACAATTCGTTAAGCAGGTTACGAACGCTGTATGGATATTCTGGCAATAAAAAATTCCTTAAATTGAGGTGATTTATGAAACTCTAATTTTATTTATATAGAAAGATAAGTTTTCCAGTCCTGTACAACACTGATTCACGGTCTTTTCCCTGTAATCAAAATTCAAGTACAACTTGATACAAACAGAATCTCCGGTTCCCGACCTGGATGATGGCTAGTTATTTCATTTAATTTACAGTTACATATTAGTACTCGTGATAAATCAAACCCGTTATGTAAGCCAAAGCCACACGGTTATTAATCTCACTTGGTTTTGGATTTGCTTACAAACGTGATCGGAAATGGTTAGGGCCTACACAGTATTCTTAAAGAACATTTATGTAAACATATCAGTGACAGCTAGGAAAAGGAATCTTTATCAAAACAGCTGCTCATAATTTCATACATGACGTGTTCTCATAACAGATTATTAGTATTTCATAAATTAATGACGTATGTAGTAAACATGGAGAAAATAAACTTGAAAAATCACACAAAATTGTGTTTTTGATCGTCCGTTATTTTATTTCCAAAATAGTGAGGCCATATTTTAATGGCTATAAGGACTCTCTCGCCAATCTTGTGGATACAATTAAACCATTAGAATCATAATCGGTACTCTAGTTTTCTTTAGAGTAGGCCATGAGTAGGCTGCATAAAATGCATTCTGGGCCGTGACGACAGACGGACATAAATTGAGATAAGACATGTTTCAACTTCTTCAATGTATAAAACATAAATATCCCAAATTATGTACAATTCTGAGCAATTTTCAGACAAAACTATAACTTTATTGATATAGATTAACTGGGTTTGAATTTTAAATATCTAAAAAAATTATAAAACTTCTTTTATAGTTTTACAAATAGTGCTGGGCGGGGGAATAATGTTTCTAATTTGTTGTGTACATCATTTATGGGGGGGGGGCTGTTGCTCAATTGCGGGGGGGGGGTTGCGTCATGAGTCTAGGGGGGGATGGGCACCCCTGTATAACCGACCGCCATTTTGCAACAAACCATACAAAACCACATACCAAATTGCATCAAAAGCGGACCACATGTGTAGTCTGTAGGTCTGTACACACACACACAGACGTCGCTTCCAAAATCAATTTTTTTGTTCAGAAGGACCCAAGGGACATTTCCACCCATAACTCTGACTCGAACGTTTTGAAAACATTACTACAAAACAATGACTTACCAACAGGATGAAGTCTCGGAAGAGTGAGGTCATGGGGCGTGACTGGAGACCTAGAATCCGACCTAGAGTCGTCGGAATGGTGAGTTGGTGGCGAGAAGAGAGGAGCTACGACGTCCTGTCTTACAGGTAGAGAGGCCAGCCAGGAGTGGTAGAGGAAGGGATTGAGACATGGTTCTGTCAGGAGGTCCTGATACAGCAGAGATCTGGAACAAACATAGACAGTCAGTCCCAAGGTCTACTGGCAAAGAGTCCGTCTTACAATATAGTTGGGAAGACGGACAACCAATCCGCATTCGCTCTGGGACTGGTTGTCCAACCCATGAAAAGCAGGTATACTTTAGATAACGGCACCAAACTATAACATGTGTTATGTTGATAAGGCCCAATGTCCAAGAAGCGGATGTGTTGACGCTTGAGACGCTCAGCGTCTAAAACCGGCCTAAAATAGAATTTAACACATTCAGCAACCAACGGTTGAACAGAATAGACGCGTTCTTGGACCACACATAGCAACACGAACTTCAATAAAAAATTGCAACACTTTTAAATAAGGATTGTGCTATTTACAGTTCTGGTTCAACCGTAACCCAACCAAATCGTACAATTATACGGTATTTGTCTTTATCCTCGATCCTTCGTCCTGCGGAAACACCTGACATTTGGTCAAGTAGTTGACTTAGCATATTAGTGTAAATGACACAATGCAACCGGACGTTCGAACTATTTAGGAGCAACGCATACCGTTCTTGAAAATAATTATCTTGAGCGTTTCCGGGGTTGAGCCTGTCACTAACGACGTGTTTTCCTAACGATGTTAGGTTATAGAAATGGCCATTCCATTCCATGACAGTTGTAGTTGTAGATTTGATTTATTTATTATTTAATATTTTTTTTTCTTTATTTTAATATAATAATTCTTCGTGTAAAATATTTCTACTCACTGTTATTTTTTTATTGTTAACATTTTCCTTGTTTACTTGTTATTGAGCCTTAAATTATTTTTGGTTGTGAATAATATGTGGTTCCATTCTGTCTGTTTTCGAGAAGCTTACATGAAATTAAAATATATTTAAATGCTGTATTTTCACTTGTCATTTGCATCACCTTTTTTCTATTTATTCATCCGTCAATGAAATAATTATCACTGTAATAGCGTCCTCGACAATTGTGCATGTACTTGTGTTTTCATCATTCTTACGTAACAAACATCCAAGATGGCTGACGTGACGTGATCGTAGTGATTCAGTGCGTGCTGTTCACTATATAAGATAGTACTTTGTCCTCTTCCACCTTGAATAGGTTTTAGAAGGAATTTTACAGGGACACGTATAATTTTCCCAACGATATTCTTCTATTTTTCGCCTGACCAAGATTTTGCGTTGCCTCACCGAACATTGAATTGCCACACTACCTCGATTGAACATCAATTATAGCTTGGTTATTGAACCATTTCCTTATATTAACGCATAAATACCTACATATTAAAAACTACGGAAATGCTATTTCCCATTCGTAAAGGTTTCGTTTTAAAATTGTATGCCTTAAGAACAGCAACTTATATCATTGATTGATTTTTAAAAAGATGGCAGGTAATTTTCCGATATTTTTTCATGTAAAGTGTTTCACAAATTAGCTACCTGCCGCAGCTGGTAGTGAGAGTAATGAAGTGAGTGATATTTAATTTTCTAATGTGTTAAAAATACTTCTACAAATACTAAAAATACTCCTAACTATGGTTGAAACGGAATGGAGATGGGTGTCTATATTGATGGTGGAGATGTTTTGAAGTGGCCAATGTCTTTATGTAAGAGTAGAATGCCAATTGTAAAATAAGATAATTGTGTAGGCCTATGTGCGTTACAAAATGGGACACCTTCCTTAAAGGAGTCCTAGGACCAGTGATAATCGTAATTCAAATTAATGAAATCTTAAATTTAAATTTGTCCTAATACATTTTCGCATGTGCTGATGGTTGAGCTATCCCCTGTTCATCCACAGCAAACAATCGTTAAAATCTAAATTAATGAGGATTTGGAATTGATTTTAAAACGATATTAAATAATAAACTATTTAAGAAACTCAACCAAGTCAATATGTATTTTTTACCAATATATTTCCAAATAGTTTTAAGGGGAAATGGTAATGAAGAATTAAGGGATATTTTTGTCACAATCACCCAACGATGTAAAGAACTACATCGTTGTTTTTATCGCTGCAATCACCACGGCTGTAGATGTTAAAATTTTGAGATTGAGAATTTTTTAAACTTGGACCCTTTTAATGAAATATAAAGTCAAAGTTGATTAAATTAAATGGTGGCTTCTGTACACCCGTGAATCCGGGTAGAACCTCTTGTACTTTGGCAAAGTATTACACATTTTTGGAATGAAGTATATTTTAAATAAATAAGTATTCAAAAATCCTACATTTTGTACTGGATAATGAGAGGGAAGAGATTATTTAACAGGTATTTATATAAACTATTCCTATTTATTCACTTATATATTATTTTGCTTAAATTTGTTACGTACCTACTTGCTTTGTAAAACGAGACTCGGTAAGTAACAAACAAACAAACAAGGTACCTACAGTACTGAAGTACATTATTTTGTCGATCAGTTGTCATTAATTAAAGAAGGTTGTCATGTTCCATGTAATAATTCAAATGTATTTTCTTCAATTCCTGTGTATTACACGGGGTATTTGTAATTACCAATTTAAAACTTGAAAGAAATTTGAAACTGAAAGAATTATTTTGTTACCCTTATAATATCCTCATTCGTCAGGTAGAACTGCTAAAATGTAAAGTTTTTTTGTTAAATGCGTCATCTTTTAGTATGAATCAATATCCAGAAGTAGGACAATGAATTCTGGTTTGAAACTGAAAATGAGTATGAAGGTGTTTGGCTATAGGGTCAAGATAATGTTTAGCGAGAGCTCATGGTGGTTGATAGAAAAAGGTTATTCGGCTGTGGTTGTTGATGGAGTCAGTGGTGTCGGTTGGTACCACTGAATTCAAATAATTACCACTGAACCACAATCTACCAAAACGGTCGCAATGTGAACATTGACCTGCTATCTAAGGGAATGATTATTAACGGACGTTATCATCTTATGGGATCAAATTGAGGTTAAAAATGGCCACAATAGTTCGTTGAACAAAACCACAAAACAAAATTTACTTATAGCAAAAAGCATGTATTTACCTGTGAGCTTCCGGCGGAACTAGGAGAGCTGAGGGGTGTGGATGTGGCGGAGGGGGTGGATGATCTTCTCTCCGGACGATGGACACGGTCAGATCCTGAGGCAGGGGTGACACCTTGTCTCGTAGACCCATGATGGACTCTATAGAGAAGGGGCGAGGCCGAGCACATTTGGCAGGGACAGTGATGCAGTCTGTCTCCTCCATCACGTCTGGACCATCACCACCTCAGGGACCACAGGATGATGGATTAGTACTTGGGTTCCAGCTTCAACTCTATGGCATCTTTCAAAATACTCTTGTATACTAACATTATTATTACCAAAGGTGGTAAATACTGGTCTTCGGCCTTCGTGTGAAGACCGCGTAGATGGCATCCGAAGTTTTGGCAACTACATCGTCGTCTGCATTATCACCTAGGAATCGACTGTGAAAGCCAATCAACAAATTATTACAGTATTACCACTACTATTCTGGACTTAATTAATTCTGGATATCGATTCTGGACACAGATGTCATGACATTTGCTTATCAATTAATTAATGAAGCTATTTACAAGAAAGTCGACGTTAGATAGTAACTTACGGACCAGGTTTTGGACCGTGCCTTTAGTAAAAAACGTAAAGAAACGTCAATGACGTTGGTAAACAAATTGATTTCAAAATGGCAACACCACCTAAGTTTGGTGCGTATTGCTGACTGCAAAATGAGTACCGGTATATAGCATGGAGTTGAGAGATATGTGTAGCATTTTATAGAGAACTAATGTGAAAACGCATAAAATAACTCAGGTTTGATAGCAAACAATACGTATACTTCCTGTGAGACTTCCGGCCTACGTACCATTCCCACACTCCACAGCGCAACATGCACCTGTTTAGTTTATTACTATTTGCTATTTGGCAATATTGCCGTAACTTAATAACATGTGTAAGTTGCTGTTTGCGGCGACGAGAATTCGGTTATTTCTATTCCCACTCCCACACAACAAACAAACTACCGTATCTAGTTGTCGTCAAAACTTAAGTTTTTCAAAAACGGCGTTCTGTTCTGCGGATCTGCAGTGCATTGTCGCAATGAAACTCGAAAGCGTTATTTTAATAACAGGGAGATCGCCGCAACAGGATGACCTGACAACAGTTATCGCGCAGTAACTCTGCTATTCAACCTGTAATGTTATATAAAGTACATCTCTACTGACTAGTGTATACGATCAGCTGTTTCTATAGCCAGTACAGTACCGTTTCGTTTATTAAAAATCCAATAATGATCAAGGAGGATGGAGTAAAAATATATTGATATAATTCCGTCTTAGGTTATACCATAGATGAAGTAATATAAATAAGTAATATAAATGGTGTTTATTTATTCTATGGTTATACTACGAATAACTGTTAAATTCCATGACAGTAAACACCACTAAACATAGCAAAAGGACTAATTAGGGAATGCAGTGAATTAGCGCAGGACCTGGAAACTAGTATCAGTTATTTTTTTTACTCACTAGGGTGTTTTAGAACACTCCTATAAAGATAATAACATCCATTGATTTTCATTCGTTTAATTGGTAAAAATTGAGTAAAAAACAAATGCGTTATCTTGTAAAACTTCACATCCATCCTTAGCCCCCATATACATTAGAATACAATCCATTAGGACTATTAAGGGCCAAAATAATCATAAGAGCATTAACTGCAGATGGAAGAATAAAATTGTCATCAAATTAGCTAAGCATCGAATAAATATGCTCAACAAATGATAGCAATGCAAATCTAATGCAGAAGTAAACTTTGATTATGATTATAAAGAAAATAAATAACGGTTGATTTACTGTTGATACATTTCAACGGGGTAGCGGATTTTTATCCCCCTGGAATTTTACCCCCTGGACAAACGTGACGTCACAAACCAGGGGTAAAATTCCGGGTGCGAACTTTTGAGTTTCGCGACATCAGTTCGATGGATTTATTGGATTTTAATGGATTCGATGGCTACTTAATAATAAAATGTTTACAACTAAATAAAAACAGAAATAAGAAATTCAATAATTCTTAATTATTTCTATATAGCCAGGGGGTAAAATTCCGCCCACGAACCAACTTTTGAACGCTCAGGTTACTACGTCATAGCAAAGATAAAAGAAGTATGTATACTTCTTTTAATCTATTGTCATAGTGACGTCAGCTTTGCCCAGGGGGTAAAATTCCAGGGGGATAAAATTTCAGCGACCCGCACTGGTTGAAACGGGTCGCCGGAACTTTATACCCCTGGAATTACCACAGAGTAAATACAATAAAGAATATGGTTACATATTAAATCTCTATTTATTCTATGGTACAGTATAGATAAACTAAAGTAACCACAAGGTTAAGAAGAATTATGTCACAGAAACACCTGTGAAGTTGACTGTTGTTATTCTTTGGTCAGTTACAAAATAATAAAACTGTCACGAAGGGGCGTTTATGATACCAACACACTAATAGTAATTTGGAAGGTATTCAGCAGTTGGCTTCGGTTTAGTTGTAGACAATAGAATATAAACTTTATGATCATTACGTGACGTTAACTATTGTTAATTGCTTTGAGTTTGGCTCTCTTTTGCTTCTTACAGTTTTACTACTAGGACAATGGGCTTTTAAGTTCGATCGCTCATTTGAAATTATTTATTATAATTACCAAATTAATTGACAAGTATTTTTGGACAACCTTCTTGTATGATTACAGCTTTCTTTTCATGAATTGGGTTCATAAACCCGGCTAGTCCTAATGCCAAATAAATACTTTTGACATTTAAGAGAAACAAAAATAAATTTTCTTCATTTTGGTTGGCAAAATATCATAAAATAAATTATACATACCGTATTTACTGTTTCTGCAACCAAACTAAGCCTCGCACTTAAATATATGTATATTATATATAATTATATATAGGTATCCACTATCCGCATGCAAGGGGGAAGGGAGGAGGGAACGCGGAAGGGACAAGTATGGTTTTTCAAATCTACCTTATGAGATAGTTCACATTCGTCATCGATTTAGAAACATAATTAAATTGCTGCGCTCTTTTGGATAAATATATATATTTTTAAATCCAGGTAAGTGGTTATAACTTATTAGGTGCTTAAGTAAAATTTGTGTAGTGATAATAGACGTATAGAATTGTGTGGTTCAATTTTGAAAAGTTAATGCCTCCTTAAAAGTGTAATAACCTTACTTATATTGCATCAGGGTACTGTCACGAGGTAACAAACAATTATTTTAAATTTATGTAACATAAAATAGATATGTTGTAACCAGATTATTCTAGTATCCCTGCAGCTCATTATATATATTTCACAAAAAAACAAAAACGTAAAAAAACCCCTATTGTTGATACAAATATTCGACATCCCACACTTTCAGAATTTGTGGTAGCAATTTAAATCTATGATTTAAAAATTCCTATTAGAGAAATATTGTAAATATTGCCTAGCTTAAAAAAAATACATTTTGGGGAATCTCTTTATTTCAGAAAATCATCTAAACTTCAAGGCCTTTTAATGAAAAAAAATCGTTTCAGACGATCACAGCAAAAATCCCTTAGTATCTACTATAAACAGTTTAACATCAATTTTCTAAAGGGGCGGATTCTGATTTTTTTTACTACAGTATTGAAATTTTCGTAATGAGTTAAGCCCATGACAAACTTACCTTATGATTATCAAATCCATAGTATGCTTGAAACCGCCTTTATGTTTATTCTCCAAAAGACACAACAATCAAAATGGGGTTTTTAGGGTGTTGGAATGAAGATAGGTAAATGCCGTAAAAGAACAAAATGTACACTACTAAAAGCTGTAAACAAAACATTAGTTCGTTTTCATATAATCTTATGTTTATGTAGGCCCACTTTAACATATAATGAAAATGAAAGTTTCTAAATTGGAATTTTTATTCAAACTAAAATCCCACCCCACCCCCCCCCCCCCCCACTTTTAGGGTAAAATAGGTGAAAATCCCAAACTGACTAAGAATAGACCTACGCTTTAGGCATATATTAGATAGAAGAGATATAAAGTCAAACATGCCCAAAACGTTTGTTAACTTAATCCAGGACAGTCCAAAAATAGGAAAAACAAGTTAAAATTTTAGGTTCAAGTCGGAATTTGGGGTTGAAGGAATGAAGATAGGAACATTTTCCTATACACACATACACATACATCTTTTTAGGTACATATTTCGAAAGACGTAGGGTGCAAAAATGATATTAGAGTTACGGTATCGAATTTAGGAAAGAATTGCAGTTTGGTGGCTAAAACCATCCCTAAACAAAGAAATGTGAGGAAAAAACAACAATTTGAAAAATCTTGTTCTACCTATAGAAGTTTTAAAGGACACCAAGTGGGCAAGTGATCTCCCTTTTTTTTATTAGAACGACGGTTTGACCACAACAAGCGTTTAAAAAACCACATTTTGAATTATTTGGGTTGGGGGGAGGGGTTAAGAGTTGCCATATCTGGTGCGACATAAGAACGAATAAGAAATCAATATACATAATCGTAACAACTGTTTATCCTAGCCACGTGTTAAATATCATTTTCTCCGTAAAAATATTATGAGAATTTTAAATTTACAGTTTTTTGAATTTTCTCTATTACCATTTGACGTACAACAACGCTTCAATGTACTAAATTTTCGACCCTTAGCCCCCCCCCCCCAAATCAAACCTAGTTCCAATAGTTTGATTATGCTCGTTCGCGAACTAGTTTTCCCTATGTGAAAAATTTGCTGAAACAGTTTGTATATTCCTAACATTTTGTTAAAATACTTTACTGTAATTAGTAGATGGCAGTCCTCTGAGTGTAAAGTTAAAATCAATTAGCGTAAGAACATTAGCTTAACCCTAGACAAGTATTACAAAATAACCTTATCTTAATTATCTGTGTTAATTATCGCAAATTTTACAACTGTCTAATATGAGTTTAATTTCTCCGTAGAAACGAGTGATAAGGCTACATTCATCTTTGCACTTTTCATTGTGTCGAATAATTGGATAGTTTACTTAGATAAATACGAAGATTATAGTCTCATTAGATAACTTATGTCGGTGTTCCGATAACCCATAAGGACAAATTACTTCCCCAAAGTAAATATGATTTTGCTGATAAACTGCAATTAGGTGAAGCAATTAATTTGCTGCATGGTACCAAACAAAATTATGATACAAACTCTTTATTGAGTCTAATCA